ATTGCTGATGTCAGATGGATCTTGGCTGAAAGCAGAGAATACCAGAAAGATGTTTACCTGTGTTTTATTGACTATGCAAAGGCATTCAACTGTGTGGATGATAACAAATTATGGATAACATTTCGAAGAATGGGAATTCCAGAACGCTTAATTGTGCTCATGAGGAACCTGTACATAGATTAAGAAGCAGTCACTCGAACACAACAAGGGGATACTGCATGGTTAAAAAGTCATGAAAGGTGTGCATCAGGGTTGTATCCTTTCACTATATTCAGTCTGTATGCTGAGCAAATAATCTGAGAACCCGGACTATATGAAGAAGAATAGGGCATCAGGACTGGAGGAAGACTCATTAACAACCTGTGTTATGCAGATGACACAACCCTCCTTGCTGAAAGTGAAGAGGACTTGAAGCACTTACTGATGAAGATCAAAGAATCAGCCTTCAGTTGGGAATACACCTCAACATAAAGAAAACAAAAATCCTCACAACTGGACCAATAAGCAATATCATGATAAATGGAGAAAAGATTGAAACTGTCAGGGATTTCATTTTACTTGGATCCACAATCAACGCCCATGGAAGCAGCAGTCAAGAAATCAAACGACACATTGCACTGGGCCAATCTGCTGCAAAACAGCTCTTTAAAGTGTTAAAAAGCAAAGATGTCACCTTGAAGACTAAGGTATGCCTGATTCAAGCCATGGCATTTTCAATTGCCTCATATACATGCAAAAGCTGGACGATGAATAAGGAAAACTGAAGAAGAATTGACGCCTCTGAATTGTGGTGTTGGCAAAGAATATTGAATATACCATGGACTGCCAAAAGAATGAACAAATCTGTCTTGGAAGAAGTACAACCAGAATGTTCCTTAGAAGCAAGGATGGTGAGACTACATCTCACATACTTTGGACATGCTATCAGGAGGGATCCGTCCCTGGAGAAGGACATCATGCGTGGTAAAGTAGAGGGTCAGGAAAAAAAGGAAGACCCTCAATGAGATGGATCAATTCAGTGGTTGTAACATTGGGCTCAAGCACTGTGAGGATGGCGCAGGACCAGGCAGTGTTTCGTTCTGTTGTACGCAGGGTTGCTATGAGTCAGAACCGACTCAACAGCACCTAACGACAGAAACAATGTCCCCAGAGTGAATGGAAAATGACCACAGCTAAGGAGTATCATCGTTTTACACAATAAAGTACTCTAATTCGTTAATAAATATAACTGATCATACAAATTTTGTTTCTCTTAATTCCCAAGTCACAATGCACTTTAGTAGAGTTTGTTGTCACTCAAAGGGGCAAAAGTTTTCCCTGTTCATGTGGAATACCACATATGGGCCAACTTGGGAAAAAAAAAAAAAAAGCAGTTCCACTGGTGACTTGATTGGCAGTGTTGGATACCCTAAAATACCACTTTACAAACTGAGTTAGACATTAACATGACTCTCCCATCTACACACAAACACACTCATATAAGCTTTTATATTTATTAACAAAAATGATCCAAAAAAAGATTGTGTCAAAATTACAAAGTGATAAGTATTAAAATAAAAGTTGTTTTCAGTTGTACTGTTTCTAGGGGACTGTTACCAGACCAGAAAGCTGTCTTTTATCTCCTAAAATAGGACATAAATCACGCCATTCATCTTGTAGATTACAATAGAAGCTCTATCACTTCCCTTTGTCAAAGCAAAATACAGCGGAGGTCTTCATTTTACTTGCAAGCCTGCTTTCATTAAGGAGTACCCATGTGGATGTAATGAAGTGAGGGTAGGGTAGAGGCAGAAATTATACAAAAAGGTTAAAAGAACAAAAGGCAAAATAGGTAATGAAGACTGGTGAGGAGAAAGGGTTACTAAACTGTCTAAGAATCATTTACTGAAGTAATCTTCCAGTTCTTCCATATCCACTTCCAGAGAGGAATTTAAAGAGTCCAGAGCAGAGGATACATCTTTGGTTTTCTGGACACTTGGTTTTGGCTGAGGAGTTTCTGGTTGTACAGATTCCTTCTTGATGTCTTTACCGCCATTTAGAATCCGCTGGCTCTCAATGAAGAACTGATTAGGATGGCTCAAAGAAAAGCCACAATCATCAACCTGTACAAGGAAGCAAATCGATACTGCATTAATATATAGCAAAACTATAAATATAGGGGTTTCAAAAACTGTCCTGGTTCTCACTTAAACTCTATTTAGTATCTGAAATATGGATTTCCTTTATAACACTCAATCCACTACTTACCATATTTCATTCAGAGTGAGCTTCAACCTACCGAAACCTTAATGACTCCCAAATTTATATTTCCAGCCTAAACCTAGCTCCCTATCTAACTCCTACTCAACATCTCAAATGGCTTGAAGGCAGCTCAAACTCAGCATGAAACTCATCCTTTCCCCTCTCCCCTGTCCTTTACTCTCAGTAACTGGTATCACAATCCATTCTGTGGGGCACATTAGATACCTCTCCTCCTTACTTCCCCAGCCCCCAATCTCTTCCAACCCATGCCTTCAATCCTGGCCATATCCAAACCATTGCCAATTCTTGTTGATGATTACCTCAAAATAAAAAATTGGAAAAAAAGTAATAAACAGTATGTTTGGGAAACACACCTCTGTGTGTGTGCATGCACCACCATGTGCATTAGTGTAATGGCTCTGATAAGTACTAGAGTAAAGAAATCTATTTAATTTTGTTTAACTTGATCTTTCCCAATGTTTTCTGGTTTTGGACACTTTTTTTTTTCTTCAGAGTTGATGCTCTTAATCAGTATGCTCCTTTTGCCAAGGTCAGTAATTCTATACTATAGTCACTCATTAAAATTTGTAAACCTTTACTAACTTTTGCTGTTTTCTATCAGAATCACAGGACACACTGTCTTATAAAATCACAGCATACTGTGGGCTCTTAGGGCTCCTTTAGCACCTTGTCCAGGATTTCTATGGCACCATTTCTCACACCAAATATAATGGTTTGCTCATCAGTCTGTCTCTCCCATCTCTACCTCTTGACTGTAAGTTCCTTGAAAAAAAGGATTTATGTGGTTCATTATTTTACCCCCAGTGCCAAGGAGAATGCCTGGGACTTAAAGAAAAAAAAGGTGAATTCCCAAAAGGATAGAGAAAAAGATCACACTGCTTTTTAAGTATCATTAAATTTGTTTTCCACTTTAAAGAAACCCAGACTGGAAATTATTGGTGGTGTATTACAGGTATGGTTTATGAAAGAGAGATAAAATCAAACTCCAATCAGTGAAACTATATTCAAACAAAAGGCCAATAAATATTTGTTTTTAAAAAAAGAAGTGATCTTTAAATATTCCCAAATCACACAGAATGGATATAAACACAGAAACCACATTTTTTACTTGTCCCTGACACCATTTATACTCCAGAGTTTATTTATACATCTAGCGTATGTAATCTCACTTAGAATGATGCAAACTCTGCAAAACCAACCTAAATTTAATGTAATTTCTTCATTAATCTTGGGCTTTCCCTAGTCTTACTTTTTACAGAAAGTCTTTTTTAATTTTTATTGTGGCTTAAGGCAAATATGCCCAGGTTCATAATTTTATGCTATTTCTTTTCTCAAATACTGTCATTAAACTTAGAATTTAACTTTTAATATCATTTCAAATTACCCATTACTCTGTGCCTTTAGTACTCAATGAGCCTTTACAAGGGTATCAATACTTTAGTATTTGAAGACTTAGCAAACACTACTTTTTCCACATTTTCATTCCAAAATCTACTCATGGTAGATTCCTTAAAATTCCTTATTTAATGCCAACTATGTGCCAGACATTGTTCCAAGTGTCACAAACACATACTCATTCAGACACACACATACACTCAGTTAATTCTCACAACAGCCCCCTGAAGGTAGATTATCAATATTTTCTCAATTTTTCAGATGAGGCATCTCTGGAAGAGAAAAGTTAAATAACTTGCCCAAGATCACACACTGGTAGGTGGCGGAGATGGCAATCTAGTTGCAGAGTAGACACTCATAACTAGTATGTTCCTTGTGCCAAGGTCAATAATTGAAACTTGTAAACCTTTACAAATTCTTAGTGTTTTCTATTAGGGTGTGATATAAGGGCAAAATAACATATACAAAGATGTTTCTCCTGAAGTATGAATCTCCTGCATGAGTCATTTTTTTCATATTCAACCAATGGGTCAAACTGAGTTGATCACATGTAACGCCCAACCTAATTCAAATGCCCACCTTATCCTGCCTTCTGTAGTAGAAGTTGACAAGAAAAAGAATACCATTTCGCTGAGTTAGTTACTTTTCTTTTTATAAGAGGCATTTTCACTTCGTATCTTTCATATACCGAGAAGCCATTACATTTCGTTTATCTGTCTTATATTTACCAACCTTTGTATATCTTACTCTTCTTTACACTGAAGTGACTTGCACACAGTAGGTATCCAATAAACATTTGGTTGAGCCCAGAACTAGCTAGTGTATACTAGTCATACATTTTATATATTAACTGAAGACTTACTATGTACAAGGCTGTGATAAGAGCTAGTAGTTTCTGGCATGCATGTATTTGACTAATTTTAAAGAAATTTCCAGTCTAGTAAGACATGTACTTAAAAACCAGTATCAAAAATGGAAAAGTGATAAGGGTCACAGATAAAGGCCTACTACAGTCCACAATACAGAGAAATTCTGCCTGGGGAAATCAAGGAAAGCTTTGTGAGGAAAGTGTTATTTGAGTTGGGTCTGGAAAGAGCATTACAAGCAGCAGGACCTCATGAGCAAGGGAAAGAGGGAAAGTCTTGGGAAAGCAAGTAGTTCAGATGGCCTGGTGTGAAAGGTATATAAAGGGAATAGGAAATGAGGTTGGAAACACAAGCTGGGGCCAGACCTCAGACAGAGAGCCTTGAAAACCACCATAAGTAGTCTGGACCTAATTCTGTAGGCAACAAAGAGTCACTAAAGATCCTTAATTAAGGAGGTGATGTGATTAGAGCTATGCATAATATCATGGTAAATTAAAATGGATTAAAAAGGGGTTAGAAAAAAGGAGTTTCTGTCATGATCCAGAATGAATGCTCCTGACAGGTGGACCAGTAAACAGAAACATAGTCTTTTCTGGTTAATACACACTTGCACCCCAGGGTTCTCTTTAGTCAGTTACTGATACAATTTGGGCGACAATTTTACAGTAACTTCAGTATACAGAAGATTAATAGTACACAGACTGATCTTTTTAAACGTTATTGCCCAGATCACTAAGAACAAATTTTTATCTCTTCCTTTGCTGCTTAATTTCAAAATGTTTCCTGAACTTTTTATGATACATCTATAATTTTTAATAATAATGAAGTCATCTGTGAACTTCCCTTTATTATATTCAATTTTTCACCCAATTCATTAAAAACTTGGAGATCCAATATAAACTTTGCATTTTACAAAGTGTTTCAGGAAAGGTAAGTTCATTGCTTAACACATTTCAATCAGAAAGCTTTAAGTTTTACAAACAGGGAACATTAGAAATTGGTTGGACCTTGAGAATCCTTTAAGTTGAAACTCTTCCACGTATAGATTAGGAAACTGAGACCTAAAGCGATTAGTTTACCCAAAGTCATAGAATTAGTAAGTGGTTTTGTCTGAATTAGAATTTAGGTCCTTTGACTAGATCATTTAGTTGCTCTGAAATATGTTTTAAGATTTTTTATTCAAAGTCAGAATAAATTAAACTGATAATGATATCTTTATTAGAAATATTTCTAGAGTTAAACTTGGCTATAAAGATTATAGAAAACATGGCAGTATTATTTCACAAAAAAAGAATCTAGTACCTTGTACTATTATATATTGGGGTTTTTTCTATACCTTGCTATAAGTTGTTACAATTTTCAATACATCTATTATCATACAAAATGACTCTCTGGGTTAAGCTGAATTATTAGATTTAGATGTGGACAAAATTCGATATCATAATCTTTATAAGCCTCAGTTTCTTCATCTATGAAATGGAGATAAAAAATAATGGCCATGCTATCAAGTTGCTAGTGGAAAACCAAAGAAATAGGAATGTAAATAGAAAGAACTGTTGTTTCTATGTAATCAAAATTAATTGGAAAGGTTCAAGAAAGGTAAGTCACTTAAAACAAAAGAGTTGAATTCCCAAAAGGATAGGGAAGAAGATTACACGGCTTTGTAAGTATCATTAAGTTCCTTTTCCACTTTAAAGAAACCCAAACTGGAAATTATTGATAGTGTATTACAGGTATGGTTTATGAAAGAAAGATGAAATCAAACTCTAATCAGTGAAACTATATTCAAACAAAAGACCTTGCCTTTATTTCAAAATATTTGCAAATAAATGACATTTAAATGTTTTAACTTTCAAATATAACATTTAAGGAATGTAAATTTTTTTTTTTTGATTCTCCATTTTACTTAATAATTTTTATTAGCCAACCAACTAAAACAGTGCCAAATGCCTTGGAAAACAGAATTTGTACCATGGTTCTGTATGATGTTGTTATGTTTCTGTATTTTTCTCTCTTAGGTCTGCAAATGTCCTTTCTTAACTCATTCTGTAATTTCCTCCTCTTTGAGCTCATTTTATGGGACTTCATCTATTAAGTTGCTTGATAACATGATGAAATTATAAAGAGTTTTCCTCTGTTTGTGAATTGTATTTTCTTCCAGGATGGGTTCTTTGTCTTTTGAGTGCTTTATTTCTTTCTTCCATTTGTATTTTTAGCTCAAGGAAGTATGTATGGTTGTCATTCAGTTTCCATCAGGAAAATAAACTTAGGGTTTTGCCATTTAGTCTCCTTTCATTTTATTCATGAGAATAAATTTAGGATTTTTTGTGGGGGAAGGAAAGGAACAGAAACAGAACAGAATGAAACAGATCCTACTTTAAAATTGAATTAGAAAAAGAACAGAGAAAAAGAGGTATCCACATCTAAATCCCTCACTGCACTTATTTCTGCTCAAGCTTACTCTGTTTTTGTTGTTGTTAGGTGCTGTCCAATCAGTTCCGACTCATAGCAACCCCGCGTATAACAGAGTGAAACACTGCCCAGTCCTGCGACATCCTCACAACTGTTGTTATGCTTGA